GCCACATAGTGGTTTACCCAATGAGAAAAGGATTTTCATGTACGATTACCTCCTCTTTATTTGTGCACTTATGAATCCTTTTTTCAGAAGTTCTTATATAGCTGCTACTGCTGCTCAAATTGCCATGGTTTTTAAAGAGAATAATACTTATTGATAGTTCCCACATGCACTGGCAGGCACCTCTAAAACCTGTACTTTTGTGTTCACAGCTTGCATAATATAAAATTTAGAGATTGCTTGTCAAACTAAGTGTCAGCTGAGTTTCCTAGGAAACTCACTGAAGATATTTATAAAACTACAGATCAGCTTAATAATAGATATAATAATGTCAGTAGCTCGTGATTATTTTTTTAACTTTATCAGTCCATTTTTCTTTGCTTTAATTTGTTGGCAAACCAAACCACTGCATTTCCAAACAGAGCAGTGAAGACCTTCCTTCCAATATCTTGCCTAATTTATTTAAACCAAAAAAAAAGTAGTTTGTGCTGTTCAATGTAAGGAAGTGTAAAGCACGCTACCGTAAAATTAAGAAGAACCTAAATGTCATACTAATTATCAGACTGAATCCTTTATAATTGAAACCACAATTATAAGTAGAAATAAAAATATTCTATCATATGTTACAGTTTTATTCACAGTGGAGTTGAATGCATGAGTTTAAAGTTCGTCGCACATACATGCAAAGCAGTCACCACAGAATTAACATAAATCCTGAGTATGGGTTTCTATAGAAGCTGCATAAATAGAAGACCTGTCAGTATTGTAAAAAGGCATAATTCTGTGAAAATAATTTTATCCCTGAGCTGAAAAAAACAGGATCTAAAAAGAGAGAATAAGTTATACGGGTGTCCATTTTTACTCATTTTTCTGCTGTTGTGTTTTACTCACAGTGATTCTTTGAGTGGAGACATGAGTGCTGCCACAGTTGGGAGGTGTCTTTGTGCTTTAAGCGCTTTAAATTGGCATTTCAGTCATGTAAATTTAAAATTTGCTGGTGTGTACACATGTATGTTTATGTACAAAAGAATGTATATTTTGCCAGAACATAATTGTTAGAGACATTTAGAAATTAACGTTCTTCAGAAAGCAGTTTAGAAAAGTGATTTCAGTTTTGCCATTTTAATACAGTAATGCCAATGAAGTTAGGGTATTTTGTAATGAGGCGGTACTGACTCCTTATCTCCTCTGGAATCCATTACCTGTACCTGTATGTGCATTTGCCTTGTCAGAGCTATTTTTTGATGCTGTGCTGATTAGCCAAGTAAGGAGCTTATATGAAGGATATTCAAGAACTGATTTTCTTTCAATAACATGAGAGTAGACCTTTTTGTGTTTCAGTGTCTAGAAATCTCAGTGCCTGTTCTAATGTAGTTGCAAAGGCCATCTTAGGAAGCCCATCCATCATACACTGGAAAGGTTAATTTTCTGTAAAGCTACAAATTTTAGTCAAATCCTAATAGTAGTTGCATGTTGATTTATTGGATGCCAGTGATATCATTGCAGCTTGATACAGCAGGGTGACAGGTAAAACCTTGTAAATCGTTGCATGTATTTTATTATAGATCACATGTGGCCAGCAACCGTACAAGCATAAAACATTACAGCTGCTATGTCAAGTGATATTTTATAAGCGTGTGGTATTTGTCAGAGCTCACCCTCTTGACTACAGTGTGTTGCAGTTTAGGGTATTTGAAACAGATCCTTTCACCGGAAGGAGGCTGACGATTCCTGAATTGAAGACAATTTGGGCTGATACGTAGGATATCTAATTAGGAGACTTATCTCATTCCCAGCCTTGCCATGGATAATTTGTAGCGTAACTCTGCGTTACTCACGCCTCTGTTCCTTACCATAGTTTGCCTGTTTGGAAAATGCAAATGCTAACAACTCCCTGAAGTGCTTGTTGTGTAGGTGAGAGAGATGCGAATTTGTACTAAACCATGTTTAATCATTTTGGATAAATTCTGCCAACATGACTTTGGTGTTGGGGAGACAAGGTGTATCATCTCTGATTTTATGCATCAACTCCAGAAGGAGTGCTTCTGCGAGAAAAACACCGATTCATGCCGTCTTGTGAGGTTTGTGAGGGAGTCATACTTGTGCACAAATACTCGCTTCTGTCCACACCCTTAACCAGAGCCCTTTTATGTCAGCTGTAGCTGAGGAGCATTTTCTCCCAACTTCTGTGCTGCATTTATCGATCCTGGGCTGTGCAAGCGATTGTGCTGACCACAGCAGTTTGCTAGCTCTCCCTCAGGCCCCTGCCCATTTTCTGCAGGCGTGTTTAAGCTGCCGGCATTGCCACCTTGCTGCACTTGGAGACCTGGATTTACCCCTCTGGTAACCTTTTACCTGATGAAAAGTGGCTGTTTCCAGGCCTGTTGAATCAAACTGTAAAGAAACTGGACAGAAAACTTTGAAACAGACTTGGGAAATACAGGAGTGCTACCTGAATAGCCATATTAAGGAAAAATACTTCTCATTTAGGGAGAGATTTGGCTTAGAGGCGTTTTTGTTTGGGGCTTTTTTGCCACCTTTTTTTCATCTCATGCTGCAAGCGTGAGGTGAAAGTTGTGTTAATGATAGGTGCGCCAGTTAAAAATGCCATTGCTCTGCTCTGGTGTTGGCATTAACTGTGAGAGTAACTGAAGTTAAACTTTGCTTAATCAATATTCTCAAGGTGATGAAAATCATCTCAACAAAAGACTCAGTCTGAATAACAGCTGCTTTCTCATGGTGACTGTAGCTGACTATAAAGATGTACTTCTATATTTTTATATAAGTTTATGGTGGCTTTTGGTGGGGGAGGAGGTGTTGTAGAAAGGTGCTTTTTCTTTAGAGTTTGTTCAAGATAGTTTTGTTATCAAGCACACCTCATATTATGCTAAACAGTGATTTTTTAAACAATATGCTTAGCTGTCACACCTTGATCATCCGGAAAGAAACACTGAGAAGTCTGACTGAAGATGCTGCGGTTTGTTTCCCTGTTATAACAATGGAGGTTCAAAAAGGAAAAATAGTATAACTATATATGCAGCGTATTTTCTTTTCCTTTCAGTTCATATCTGTGACCAGTGCTATGAGAATTACGGACAGGCTCTTAGGGAGTTATTTTTTCAACTGGTCAGTGTGTGTGACCTCTGTGTTGACAGTGAGTCACATTGTAAGTCAGGAGTTCACTGTTTTTTTTGTCTTTTCCCACTGCAATTGAGTAGGTTCCACATGCACACCCAAGTAAAATTGAGAAAAACTTGCCAGTTGATAAAGAAGTCTTGATAATATTGTAGCAGGATGAGTCAGCTGGTGGGATACTCACTGCTAAATACCAAATAACAATGCAGAAATTCAAGAAGGCTTCTAAGTCATATGGGCAGTCCAGGGAAAATGAGCTGCTGAGCTCACACAAAATCTAAGAAATGATTGAAAGTGAGAGAGAACCTACCTATTTTAGCAATACATATAAAATCAGATTTGTATGTCCTTAATACCGTCATTTTGACATGTTCTAGGAAAGAATTAAGGCTTGAAAAGTTTTTTTTAAATAATTGGAGAATGTGTTAACCCCTTTTTTTTCTGGTTCCCCCTTCTCTTGCCCTTCCCTGCAGTTGTAAATTTTTGTTTCACTTTATGCATCTCACTGAGTGTTGGCAACATAGAGTCAGACTGGTTAACCTCCACCTTACATCAGTTTTGCTTTCCACTCCTTATGCTTTAGTTGCAGTGTTTGAGGGCAGCATGTCAGTCCAAAGTTATTTGTAGATGTTAGCAAGCATTTCTGCCAATATCACATTATGCTAGACTAGTGTTACGCTGAAGAAAGGCAACCCTTCACCCCATTCTCCTTTTTAAACCCAAAAATATTTTTTACATCTAAACAACCATATAATGTTCTGACACATGGTTAGTCTTAGTATTTTTAGTGGACCTCACAAAATTACTGCGTTTGGACCGCTTGAGGGTACTATGTAACCGTAAGTGAAAAAAAAGGTTGGGTAAGAAGTTTTTTGGCTTGGAAAATGTAACCTCAATCAATGGAAGTAAGTCTTTGGCTCATACCTTACCATTGGACTTGTATTTTACTTTGCAGTGGGAGTCTAAATCAGAAAAGGTAGTGAAAAGTGTTATACTAGACAGTATTTTACGTATCTAAGCATGTTTATTTTTCTTCTAGCTTTTTAGAAAGAATTGACAGTGTCAGCATGGATGACTACACACCCACAGATCAGGTCAGTATAATTAATGGGGCAGGGTCTGAACCAAGGCTCCCATTCATATGAATTCCTTACGAAATTTGTTTGCGTCCCAACAGCAGCTGAAATAGGGCATGACACATAATATCAAAATACAATCTAGCAGTTTAAGTGATGGATATTAAAGAAGAGTCTATTTGGTGGTGCAAGCTTGTCTTTTACTGTTGTTATATGCAGGTCGGTGATTCCTGTAAAGCACCTGTTACTTCTTCCTGCTTTCCATTCTATGTCCTGCAAACAAAGCAAAGGGAACAGAAAACGTAAACGTAAAAGCCTATGGTTTCCCTCAGCAGCCTTTCACTACACAGAAGCAGTGTTTTGTTTCAGTGGTGGAGGTGATGGAAACCCAGAGGGAGGCTTCCTATGTATGTCAGATGGGTCCTTCAAAGGCAGAAGCCAGCAGTGGATCTAGTGTCCAAATTCAGGGGAGAGCAGCAGCGGCACCTTCTTTCCAGCCTGTGCCCATCTCTTATGGGCAGGATAGTTTCTATTTAAGCCTTATTTGCAGGACAGTATGTTTTTTTCCCAGATGTCATGATACATCTTGATAGAGTGCTCCAACAACAAACACATCAGGAAAGTTAAGGCTGTAGTGGTGCAGCCTTGAAGTAACAAAGGGCTTCGCTGTGGTGCACAGCTTCGGCTGCCTTCCTTGAGCTCAGGCTGCGTGGTTTCCTTGGGCAGGATGTGTCTTCAGCAAACTTATTCTGAGGTTGTTATTTTTCAGTGCTGGTATCCCACTGTCATCTAGTAGTCTCAGCCAAGATGGTGGGCCACAATGTAAACTGCAAATACAGGTGGCAGAAGAGGATCCCTGCACTGGATAATTCAGTCTAACCATGCAAGGTTTATAACGAGTGAATGCCCTTTAAAAAATACCATTGCCAAATCTCATTGTGCAATCAGGGACTGAAATTCAGAGAAATTAAGTGACTTACCTTCCGTGGAGCAGAGCCTGTTCCTCCAGACCTAGATCAGGTCCAGAACCTCAGCCTGTCTGATGATTCTGACCGTACCCTGAAACAGAATGCAGTAGAAAGTAGTACACATTGTATTATAAGGTGAAACTTGTGTAGTCAACCCAAGGCAGGATCAATTATTAAAGCCCTCAAGACATTTTCAAACCAAAGCAGTAGCAGTGGGATTTACTCCATCTAGACCTCATGGTCTGATTTTAGTATTGATATCACTCGGCTGGAGAGAGAAGTCAATGAAGCAAAGCCTCATTTTTGTTTTCATTATTTGTGTTAGTATTGGCCTGTTTGTTCCTGGGAGGCCTTTCTCTACCTGGAGCAGTCGTTCATCATCCAGAAATTTTTCCTGGTAATTCCTTTGGGAAGAAATGCCCTGTGTCTCCAAAGATCAGAAGAGGCCTTTGGTATTTGGCAGGCGGAAAACTTTTGCTCTAAAAGAGGGATTCTCTTTTGCTCTTGGGGTTTCATCCTGTTATGCTGTATCAGTTGTCTTGCTGAATTAACTGGTAAAAATCACTACTTTCCTTTTTTTCCTTGCTTGCTTTAATTTTTTTCTGCACCATCCCAAATTAATGACTGAGTCCAATAACAAATAAATGTCAGCAAGTGACAGAAAATGACAGTAACATGTAAAATAGCTAAAGTAATTAAATAAGTGGCCTTCAGCTGAGTTCATGTGGCTGTCAAAGCAGCCAAGGTTTGCCAGCTACCAGCGCACTTGAAGCAGTAGATGGTAGAGTAGGGGAAAAAGGCAAGCTGTGCTTGAGCTCTGCACCGCCGACTGCCTCCTTCCCTCCCGGCTTCCGCAGCCGCTGCATGGCGAGGAGGGCTAAGCTGGACCCTGCCCAGGCGGGGAGCACTCCCCAGGTGGGCAGCCATGCCGAGAGGCAGCTGCTCACGGAGGTCCATCCTCACCAGGCAACCAGCAGCTTTCTCTGGCCTCCAGTTCTGTTCTGCACCCACTGCCTGAGCATCAGTGCTGGGTAGTCAAGGTTAAAAATGCGGCTCGTAATGGTGATGGCACACGGTGAGCTAGTTGCCCGAGGTATGCATCATAAATTGCTTTTGCCTGCTTCCTTTGAGAACCTAGGAAATTACTAATTTTTAATTATTAAAAGAATGTTATTTAAGTTGTAAAGGGTTGCTAGTTTGGCAAATAAGCAATAAATGCCAGATTTATGTACAACCTAAATTCTGTTCCCCTGTGCTCTGTAATAGAGCTTAATTACTCAGTCACAAGCTACTATTTCGGTAGAATTCCTGTCTCATTCGGTACAAACAAGGACAGAATTAAGGTTGCTTGGGTGTCCTGGCTTTGCTGAGATACACTCTGAGGCCAGCCGTGGCACGCAGGCCGCTGGCAGTTCCAAGCTGGGCCGGTGCTCGGGCTAGGAGGGGCAACAGCCAGGGCAGCTGACCCAGACGGGCTCACAGGAGTGTCCCGTACCATAAACCTCCTGCCCACCATAAAATGGGGAAGTCTGCTGGGGTAAGGGGGGCTTCTCCTCTCCCTGCTCCTCCCCTGGCTTCTCCCTGCTCCTGAGGACTGCTGTCCCGGTGATTGTGACCACTGCACATTCATTGAGCTGAGTATAACTTTGTATATTTTTGTTGGCATTGGTGCTATTTCATTAAATCTGTTTTCACTTCAACCCACGGGTCTCCTCTCCCCGATGCCCCTTCCCAGCTGGGGAGGGGTCATGGGCTGATAGAGCAGCTGCTGTAGTTTAGCCCCGGATACAGGCTAAACATAGACACTGGGCAACTGTAAATCTGGAGTTTTCCTACATTTGAATATTTGACTTTATAACATTAACAACATTTTTCTTAGTTTTATATAACTTCAGAACTCCTTATCCACACCACATACAAAATTATATGACCATCAGTAACAGGTTTCAGTGTGCACTAAGGAGAACATACATAGGGTCTCCTGCTTTCCAAGAGTTCACAGGCCACATGCAGGGATGATGTTTGTGTATACCTGCTGTGTCAGTGTGGACAAATACAGGTTTTCCAACAAGTCTGACTGAACTTGAATTAAATGGAACATTTCAGACTTTCTATGGAAAATAATATTCCATGCTTTTAAAAACAAAATGAGGTTAGAAAAAAACCTTACTAATCAGCTTCTGTGTTCTCATTTCTAGGACCTGTTAAGATGCAGAGTGTTGACATCGGGGATTTTTGAAACAAGATTTCAAGTAGATAAAGTAAATTTCCAGTAAGTCTATTAGTAATAATTTACAAATATCATACTAATGTTTAACAACATGGTTTGGATGTCTGCGCTTATGTATGCTTGGTATAGTAGGTTTAGGGTGGGAGTTGGTTTGTTGGTTGGTTTGTTTGGTTTTTTAGCTCTCTTTCCGTAGGTCCTACTAAAATTGCCTCATAGTTTGTAAAAAGAGCTGATATTAGTTTTGTGTGTGTATTAGTGATGCTCTATTTTGGGGTTGTCTGTGGCTGATTTTGCTAACTGGTTCATCAGTGTAGCACTAGAAACTCGTAAAATACTTTAGGGGATAAAATCTTGCAGAAGTCAGTGGGAATCCTGCCACGAGTCAGACTTTGTACAGTGGGACAAGGAGAGTAAAATGTCTCCCTTCTTCCGGAGGGCTGCAAGCTCTGTGTTTGTCAGAGTTTTACGCTGTGTTTCTGTAAAACATCCACTGTTGGGCTGCTTCCGCTCACCGGTTGTTGCCCAGAAAGGTGGCAGCACTGATGGGGCAGAGCTGCCCCCTTGTCCTCCTCCTTACAGAGATGCACTCTCCCCACCACCCTTTAGTAAGTCCAATCTTACATGCCACATGCGCTTCTGTGGGCTGGAAAGGCCAGCCCTTGCCCTGGAAAGGAGTATAGCTCTCATTTTGCAGGTTCAGTAGCCTTCGCTTGGCAGAGCAGTGCAGGCAGAGCTTTGCAGCTCTGTCGTGCAGCAGGCATCAGCAGAGCTCTCTCCCCTTTGGGCGGTGTTTTACTGCTGCTCTCCTTGGGACTGTCAGGTTTTTAAAGTGAACCCTCATGCTTCATGCTTCGTGTGACTTTCCTAGTGCACATAAGTGATATAACATCCTATGGCTTTTTAACAGCATGTTTGATGTAGGTGGCCAGAGAGATGAGAGAAGAAAATGGATCCAATGCTTTAATGGTAAGTAAAAATATTTCACATTCTTATTTTGCACTTACTCTCTGAGGTGCGAGCAGCTCATTCATATTCTCACTTAGTCACTAGCACAGGAGTCCAGTGTTACAGGTGTTTTCTTCAGGTATTTTCAGCAGTTTGGGGACTAGTAGCAGTGTTAACCCAAGGAGTATGTGCTGGGATAACGGAGGTGTTCTGTTCTCTCTCCTTCCTTTCTTTTGTGTGCTCTGCCCAGATGTCACAGCTATCATCTTCGTTGTGGCTTGCAGCAGCTACAACATGGTAATAAGGGAAGACAATAACACAAACAGACTACGGGAATCCCTGGACCTTTTCAAAAGTATCTGGAATAATAGGTAAAACATACCTCATTCCCCACCCGCCCTCCCCAATTTAGATACGGTTCAACTCCTTACAAAATAGGGATCCCCTTACTGTATGCTCAGATTGCTTACTCAGAAAATGTCGGGGTAGGGCCAGGTCACAGGGTGCCCCTGCAGTGTGTACCCCTCCCCGGCGGGGGCCGTGGCGCAGGGACAGTGCAGTATTTCACCGCTGCTGCCAAAACGACATGGGGTGTGGGGGCAGCTTGGAGAGGGTGAGCTCCGCGTGCTGGCTGCCGCAAGGGAAGCAGGGGAGACCCCTTCCTGGCATCACTGTGCTGCTTGGCCGAGTCTGAGGGGGTCCTCCAAATTCCATTTTGTCCCCTCCCCGAGCGCAGCCGCAGGAGCAGCTGGCTGCTGGCGTTGCATTCGGCTGACCAGCTGGTGTTGCGCTCGATACCTGCATGGGCGGCCGCTCTCGTAAGACCTGCCTCTGAGAGCGCACAGTTTCTCTGCCTTGTGGGATGATATTTCAGATCTAATCTAATTGTAACTGCCACAGTGCGTGTAAACTATCGCTACGTAACCAAATAGCAATCTGAACAGGTTCCTGATAAAGCAAAAACAGTACACAAAGCAAGGTAGTGAATTTTTCAGCATGTACCTGTGAGGATGCTCTGCACTGAGAAATGATTGAAGGTAGCGTGAGGAACAGTGTCAAGCACAAGTCCCAAAGGCACATCGTTACAATGTTGGCTAGTTGCTAATTGGAGAAGAACAGAGATTATTTTCATTTGATTCATCAGGTGTCATACAGGCTGCCCTAAAAGGCGGGCTATCTGTGTGGACAACCAACAGTTAAGACAGAGCAGTCTGAGGAAAGGCAGCTTTCCACCCTTTTGCTTCAGCAAAAAAAACAAAGTAGGCAGTAATGTCTGGTTTTGGACTGCAGTGCTTTTAGGAAATACCATTTTCCCAGCTCACTATCAAAAGGATAATTTAGAAAACAATGTTTGAATACTGCTCCCTACAGCAATGTCTGCTGCAGTTTTTATAAATGTATTTACAGATTCTGTAAATGTACTCACCAGCACAGGTGCAACCCAATTGAAGCAATAATTTAGGTCTTTTTTTTTTTTTTTTTTTTTTTTCTGTTGAACTATGTTCCACACTACTTCACTCTTGGCCATGCAGGGATAGCCAGTAAATTTTCTATTGAAGTGATAGTTTTCCTTGATTAAGTGTCAGAGATAACACAAACATTTGGTTTGTTTTTGACAGGTGGTTACGGACCATTTCTATCATTTTGTTCTTGAATAAACAGGACATGCTGGCTGAAAAAGTCTTGGCAGGGAAATCAAAAATCGAAGATTACTTTCCTGAATACGCGCATTATACTGTACCTGAGGATGGTAAGGTTTTTCACCACGCAGGGGTTGGCCCGTAGTTTCTCTCTCTGTCTCTCCCACACACACAAACTCACAAGCACACGCTGTTCCTTAACACGAGCTGTTGGTCAGGTAAGGACCGTGCTGGCAGCACGTAGCTTGGAGGTGCCCCAGTGTGGCAGGGTCTGGAGGGGCTCTGGCTGCTGGGGGCGCTGGGGAGTGGGGCTGGCTGCAGACCACCTGCCTTCCCTGCTTTGGAGCAACCCACCTTCCCAGGAAAGCAGAGCTGCTGGGCATGTCTCTCCCCTGCCAGAGGCTTCGCCCTGGGCCTCCCACAGCGCTGAATTTCGTTGGGGATGCATTAGACTTATTTTGTGGCCATTCTACGTCCTGCAACGCTGAACTTCAGCCTTTACAGATAATGGCAGGGAGCTCAGCAGACCAGCAGGGTCTGGGCTTTTAATGGAGGAAAACCACATACAAAGAGAGCTGTGATGATGGAGTGTTAGCATGGGTTCGGTGTCCCAGCGTTTCAAGAAGTACCATGATTCCTGCACCGCAGTAACATGCTGCATAACTAAACTGTGGTATTCCACCAGTTTTATACCAGGCAGGGGGCTTCCCAGACATCTCAGGTCTGCTTCTAGCAAAAGTGGCAAAACTTGCACTTTCTGACCGCTAGTCTCTGCCTTACCCGAGTGATGCCCCTGGTGTAGTGCTTGCAGCCACGTTTTGGAAAAGGCTTTCGTTCTCCACTAACCATCAACAACAAGTTATGGAAGTGAAGATGGTAATAAGCTATTTTCAGCTTTCGTTTAGGTCTGGAATTTGAGGAGTGTGGTGCAGAGTTTGAGGTGGAGAGGATAAATAAACTGTCCTAAAATCTGAGTTAACCTGATACCAGTCTTACAATGCTAAGGGCTTTCAGAAGAAATCTTCTGTCACCATCACCCAAGTTTCTCTCTCCCAGACATATACCACATACATATAGAGTTTGGGTAAATTTTCAGCATTTTTTTTCATAGCAAGCCAGTTGTCAGAATAAAGTAGCTTTTGGTGTTTCTCAGCAGGATTTCACAGCAGATAGCCAGTGGTGCAGAATATTCACACATGAAGCAGCTCTCTATTTTTAACTTATAGTTGTTCATTTATTCCTTCATTTCAGCTGACATTATTTAAGGACAGTGGCACCGAACTCTTAGGTGCTGCTCATTGTGCTGCTTCTCTACATTTACCCTCTCGCTATAGATAAGAGTAAAAAATACGTTTCTGTATTCTGATAAATTCTGCCCTTTGCTGTATCATGTTTATAAGCATCTGATCTGGTATCTTAGATGAGGAGAAATCGCACTGAGGGAAATGAACAGGTTATCTCTTCACTGTTGTTTTTTATGCTTAGAGTAAATACAGTCGTACGTGGCCTAGGCAGAGATAACTTTGTCTGCTGATGGTTAGCACTGACCAATGAGTCTCCTGCTCAACAAGGACTTAATCTGAGGCCCCTTGATGGGCAGTATATCTGAGTATTCTGCTGACTTGGGGCCTGGAAATAAAATACATATATTAAAAGGTCTTTTGATGCTATCGTTTTTTTCAAGTGTAATCTTGGACTAACCATTTTTAAACCTAAATTCCTGCCTGCAGAAGCTTTATCCAGGAGATCCTGTTCTGCTGCAGAAACTGAACAGCTCAGCTGCTTTTTCTAGTCATATTTTCTGATAAAAGTTAAGCCCCAACTCCCACTTGTTTTGTATCTATATGAACAAACTTGTGGATGTGAGTAAGCCTCTTTATGATATGGCAAATGACATTGTTGCAACAATTCCCTGATTTTTAGGTTCCTAAAATACATTAAATACACAGTCACATTTTACAGTACCCTTCTATTTTAGAATTACCTACTGGGAATCTCCTGTGGATATTTCACATTTTAATTTCCGTATTGAAGGACTACCTCCTCCTTATTAAACCTTTTATTATGAAAAGTAGATGATTGTTTGCTTTTCATGTTTCTGATGTCATTTATTTTTAATTGAACAGCAACACCAGATGCAGGAGAAGACCCCAAAGTCACAAGAGCCAAGTTCTTCATCCGGGATGAGTTTTTAGTGAGTAATTTTGATCTTATGTGTGATTCTGTCATAGGAAATACTGGCAGATGGCAGAGTTTATTTAGGGAAAACTGCTGGGTTTTTGCAGAAAGCTAGAAGGAGAGCAGAACGTCTGCCAATTCCCTAATTCTTTTCAGCTGCCCATCTTGCAGAACCTTCCCCAGTGCTTGCACATTTTTATGTCCATTTTATTTAAAGTCACCTGCCCTGCGGAGTGTCACACAGCAAGGAATTGCTAGTGCTGAAAACGGTCGTGTGCCTGCCTGCTTGATGCCGAGTTCGGTGTGGGTGCCGGCAGCCCTCGCTCTGCGCAGAGGCACAAGGCCGAGCGCTGCTTCCGTTGCCGGTTGGTGAGGTTTTCTGTGGTTGCCTTTACCTTTAAGGTGCTACTGGCTGTTGCCTTGAGTGTTTGTTCTGTGTATCAGCCCAGTTCATGTTTAAGCAGATAGGCCTTTTTTTTTTATCCTGCATTCCTCCAAGGGCTTTGGCAGTGGTCAGCTGACAAGAGGGAATGAAGAAAAAAGCAGATTTTGTCCTTAAAATCTCCCGATTTCTGTTTTGCCAGTTAGGAGGGTTGCCTCACCTTTGGACTGGTGTCATGGCCCTACTGAGGAATCCTAAGAAAGTTTCCTTGTCTGGTCACAGTTCCTCTTGCAATTAAGGTTTCCTCCAAAGCTGGAGCTGAAGAGGTGTTGTCTGCCTTTTGCAGACAGAAGCAGTTGTCAGGCACACAATCACAGCCAGTGCTGCAGTCAGAAACAGGACGCTTAACCCAGTATCACCTGCAGCTTCACTCATACCGAGTTGTTCCCACAGTGCAAAGCAGTGATAGAGACAAGAACCAAAGCTCATCTGGCTTGTCCTACTGGTAGAAGCTGTATGGAGGTGTTTGAGAGAACAAATCTAATCATTAGAATTTAGAATTTTGAAGCCATTACGCATTGACAAGTACTGTTAGGATTTACAGCTGTTGATACAATGAGAAAGAAAGAAGCGATTAACTACATTTGCACTTTGGGGATCTCCATTCACCGCATTAATGTTCTGGATTCCAAGGAAAAATGCCAGATTGCATTGTGTTAACGTAAGAGTTACCAGAAAAAAAAATACTTCAAGACAAATCTCTCTTGTGGTAATGCTGAAATGCTGTGAAGCAGGTGTTTCAGTATCCAGTTTGGAAGGAGGGTCCAAGAGAACCAAATTATGGGGAAACTAGGGTGAAACTCCCCACCTTTATCTATTTTCATTATTTTAAAAAAATCACATCAAGGACAAGGTCCTTACCTGCCATGACTCACTGGAGTTAAAGAAGGAGGCCACCTATGGAGCGGGTAGGGAGGGGAGGGGGCGCAGGCATGCGGGGGTCCTCTGCAGCCACGAGTGCTGGGGGCAGGAGAAGCGTTTGTGCCGCAGCTGGGCACCCACCGGTGCTGGGAAGTGCCAGGGCCTGGGTATGGGGCCGAAAGCTTTCGCCCCTTTCCCTGCAGCCACGCAGGCCTGGAAGAGAGCATCTCCTCCATCAGCAGTGTTTGTGTCTCTCTCCTGGTTTGTCCTTGGATTCTTGGTGTGAAGAAATGTAGGGACGTGGTCATTTGAACTCTCGGGCTGTTTGCAGTGAAAGTGTTGCAGGCGATAAATGGTCTGCGCAGCCTGTGTGTGCCCCGCGTAACGGAGGCCATGCGTGGGCCCAGCCGGGAGGGCAAGGTGGGTGAAGCCAAGTAGAAACAGCGACTTCCACTTCGGAGACAAAGGGGACAGGGGAAATAAGCTCAGCATACAGACTGGGGAGGAGTCTCATGTCCTCTGCAAGGAAGTATTTTGTGTGTATTTTCTACCTACAGCCTTCCTGGCTCTCCTTTATACGTTTCTTTCCAAGTCTCTTCATTTATGACCTTTTCCTTGTTCCGCTCCGTTAAGTTTTCAGACACGATTCAGTGAAATCTGGTTTTATTCATTTATAAGGTTTATTGTGATTTTTATCACGGTAGCGGGTCTGCATAAGGCATGAATACGTGTGAAAATCACCACCATGGTGCTGCACTCCTTGAAAGTCTTACCTGGCTGTAGGCACTGGTACTGGGAAATTTAAAGCATCGTTCGAAGAATTTTAGGTGGAGGTTAAACGTAAACACTATTGGTACATGGTAGCATATGAGTATTAGGTAAGCAAAATAACGTCGGCTCCTGATTTCAGGATTGGTGCGGGGGCCCATGGCCTCTGGGGGGTTGGTGGCAGGCCTGGCTGGTTTTTCATGTGGGGAGTGGTGGGCGAGGGCTGGCAGGATGGATCTTGTAGGAAATTCTCCTTCCTTCAGCTCAGGCATGTCCTTTCCCCTGCCAAGCTCTTCGCGGAGGCAGCATGCCAGTGTGCTCCTTGTCCAGGCTGCTCCCCAGCCCCATTTCGGTGTTTTGGACACGGGCCCTCCAGCTGCTGCTGTTTGGTTCTAGTACATCCCCAGTGTATAGGTAACCCCTGTTAAAACAGTGGCACAGCTGGTTCATGCTGATTTTTAAAAAATCTGAATCTGGGAGGTGAAGGATCTGCTGTTCAGACACACAGACCAGGCTCCTCACAGAACACCGTCGTCCCGACCCCCGCCGCACAGGGACGACAGGGTTAAATACACCCGCTGGTGTTACAGGAGAGTAAATGTTCTTTTGTTGCTGTCCCAGGGGATATTACTTTTCCCCTCTGAACTGGTGCCAGGTAACACACTACTATTCAAAATGAGCTCTGAGTAGAGGTGAAAATACTGCATTTATCTTAAAATGAGAGAACTACAGAGCTGTCAGGGAACTGGAAAAAAACAAACCCTAACATTTTGAAAATACATCCTTTGACATCCCTGGTGTCACCAGAACATTGTGGGCAGCTTACCACCACAGCCATTAGTGGAATCAGTGCGTGACACACACAAGCAAACGCTTAGTGAAAGGACACATGTTTTACCGAAACACCAGAAGAAGATTGAACGACGGGTCGGTAGGGCGGTGTGCTGCCTCCGGGCGGCGCTGAAAGCGATGTCCCTCGCTGACGGTGTGCAACAGTGAGCCCTAGGAGCACGTCTGAGTGGGAGTCTGATCCCCCTCTCGGGTCCCTGCGGCACATAACTGCTGCATGCAGACATTGCGGAGCTGTTTGTGTGCTCACTGCAGCAGGCGAAGCGATGCTGGCGCCTCAGCGATCTAAAAAGTTGTGCGGTAGCCTTGCGAGAATTTAGTTCTGCCTGGTCTGAAGTTTACTCGATGTGGCATGTTTTATCATTCTGTGGGAAGCCGGCCACACTGGTGATAACTCCACCATGGTCTGGGCTCCATAACGGTACCAGACATCAGCCGGCTGAGCAGGTGCTCCAAGTAGAGGTGACCTCGGGGCCTTCAGCTCCAAGCAGCAGGAGCAGTAGGGTGCTGGTCTCTGCCACTCCTGCCTTCACAGCTGGGGGGCCTTCAGTTTCGTGTTGCTGATTTAAAGCAGAAGTTCAAAAAAAATGCCACATGGTGGCACCAAAAAAGAAGAGGAAAAACGGCTGCGGGGACAGCTGCGTGGCAGGCTGCAGCGCTGGCAGCAGCACCGATGGGCTGCACAGTGCCTGCAGGTGGCAGGCGGTCATGCAAACAGTGGTGGCTTCAGTGGCTCTTACACAGCACCGACACACTGACCCTGTAACAGTATCCAGCTTTTCTCAGTCTTTGTTTCAAATTTGTGGTTCATGCTGGACCAGACTCCAGACCTTCTTCCTTATTTATTTTTGGGGTCAGTATACAGCATTTCCCAGGTCTCTCGGTACTCCGTAAGCCCGTAGCCCACCGAGATGGGAACCTTCTCGTGGCACCAGCACCTGACCCTTTTCTTTTTCTCCCTGTTTCTGCAGAGGATAAGTACGGCGAGTGGTGACGGCAGGCACTATTGCTACCCACACTTCACGTGTGCAGTGGACACAGAAAACATCCGCAGAGTGTTCAACGACTGTCGAGACATCATTCAACGGATGCATCTCCGCCAGTACGAACTGTTGTGAGGGGGATCACCGTGGAACCTGTGGTTTTAAATTCTTTGCTCCTTACTCTTTCTCTTGATACTACCCCACACAGGGTGGAGGAATATGCTATAGAAATGTCAGTCTCTTCACTTTGTTTACTTTAATTATTTAACCTTAAAGCTGATTTGAAGCAAGTTTGGGTTGGTTTTCCTTCATGCTTTTTGGGACTGCTTTTGTGCTTTATTTTGACATGCCACTTCTTCGTCATTCCACTAAGCCCTTTGGCTACCTCCGTTCCCTTAGGTTTTGTTTTTTTAACTGAACATGACCTGCTAAATTTTTTCCAGCAGGTTAACGTCAGTTCCAACTGGTATGTCAGCTGGATGACACTAAAGTCATACCTGTCCCTCTGTGTGGGTTTCCTTTTTAACATGACATTGAAGAGTACTTGATGGGTGAAAAAAGATTAATGCACTTTGTATCAGGTTATTAAATACTGTTGAGGATGTAGACACACAATGTAGCAGCACCACAATATTTATTACTCTGTCACAGTTTTTAGCATTTCTGAGTTGCAGGTCAACTGGTAAAGTGACCTCCTCTTTTAAGCCGTTACTGGCACAGGAAGTAGAGTAGATGATGAGAGGAACAGTGAAGACAAAGCAATTTTTCTGGGGTTTTGGAGCGAAGTGTCTCTGCCCACCTCAGGCATTTGAATTACAGCTACTTTTCAGCCTGTTGCATCTAGGCAGAAAAATTTACCACCCTCACTGACGTTCTTTGTGCTGTCCACAAATGATCCTTTTCGTTCAGATCATTCTTGGACAACAGTCCTCTCCCTATATATATTTTTTTGTTTTACTGCTGGTTTATTATATTGTACAGACTGTAAAATGTAATATTATTTTGTACAACTTTATTGAAGAAAAATACTTGTAGAAGATCTTTGTGCCTTGATTATGGCTGTACCTGTAAAATGAGCTAAGATGTAAGTATGTTTTTGATTGCGCTGTACAGCTTGATGTCAACCTTACCTGCAGCAGAGACTGGAGGTAAGAACTTTATCTGTAGAGTTTAGGGATTTTTTTCTGGTTTATATAAAAATGCTCTTTAGTATAAAAATTATAAATTATGCAAATTAACCACTTACCTTTCCAAGTAAGGTATTACAGTCACCGGATGTTGCAGCAAACATGCCTTTCTCTTTTGAAGTCTCAGCTTTAAAACATTGGAATTCATTCAAGTGTCCAAATTGCAACCTGGTGTTGTTTTAATGGGAACCAAGGATTTTTTTTTTTTTTTTCCTTTATATTTAGAAAATATGTTTGGTAATTCTTTGGTCATTCATAGAACTTCACAATTGCACAGACCGATTGTGAATGTGTAAAGCACCATTATATAGAGCTCTTCAATCTTTGTACCAACAGCAGCTTTCATTGTGCAAGTAAATAGCGAGAAAGAAGAAAAAAAAAACAAAAAACAAAAAGGTGTATAAACCCTTGTGTCTGGCCTAAGAGAATTACAAGATGACATTTTTATTTCTCTTTTAATAAAGAGACACATTAGAAAATTGTTTTATTTTAAATATTGTAGAATCAAAATGTGTGAATATTTCTCGAACTTGAATAATTTATGCAAATTACATTCTCAAAACAAGTTGTGGTACAGTACAATATATAAAAAGCAAGAATTGCGGTAGCAATAAGGCATGTCCTTTTTAGTAACTATAACACTGCTTTATATTTTATACATAGGTGTTTTATGTCTGTGACTATATACTTTTCCTGTGTCCAAGATAACCTGTACAAATGTCTAAAATTACAGTTGCAATAACAGAAACCTAGAGAAGTGTTAGACTACATTACTTTCTAGAGTGTTTTACCACACTTTGGACCATTCCCCCCCGCTTCACTTTAAATTGAGGGAGAGATTAAGAGCTAACACGTTCCCCACATTGGCATACAAATCAGCAGGTTTGATTAGCTTTTTACTCTAAGCATCATTATTAGTTATAAACCCCAGCAGTCATCTTTTTAAACTCAGACTACAGATGAATTGAGAACTTGTTTCTATTTGATGATAAACAATCCCATTTTAGCTACTAGAATAGGACCCGTTCCTCTTCCCAGAAATACTTTGATACCTGTACGTCCAGTTTAGTCATCAGGTATTTCCCAGAAAGCGAAAGGCTGGGTGGAATAAGCTAATAATAAACAAATTTCCCAAATGCAGATTCTCTCAGTTCCCATGCCAAAGAAAGGCATAGAGCAAGTAACAAAAGCCCAGGCTGTTCTTTAGCCCAACGCAGGAGTTTGGGTCAGAGCTCCCAGCCTCTGCAGGAATGTCAGCAGGAAAACTGGTCCCGGTGTGAAACAGTCCCTCTGGTTTTTCTGGGGCGGGTGGGGAGAAGCGGCAGGTTTGTCGCATCTTCCCTCGCACGCAGCACACGAAGACGCTGAGCTCAGATGTCACCTTCTCTGCGCCGCCATCCAGGCAGGGCCGATGGCCCAGCTCTGTGGTGCACGGCCGCGGCCTCCGCCTCCGCAGGGAGCAGCTGGTGCCATGCAGAATGCAAGCTGCAGTAAAGTTAACAGAACTTGGCGGCCCTGCTTCCCGAAATAACGCGCGTTCCTGTCCCTGTCTGTCTGCAGACAGCGGGCCGAGGCGCAGGAGAACGTTACTGCAGCTGTATTTCACCTTCCTTCTGGCAGAAGACCGGCAACTGGAGGGCCCCCCACCACACAGATCCCTGGGATGCAGTAGGGCCCTCTTTTTTTTTTTTTTTTTTTTTTTTTAAGCTCATCATAGCACATCTTTTTAAAAATAGCAGCTTGAGGTGTCACCCTAATACTATTTTTAAGCAGGTTTCAAGTGTGTAAGAGCAAACTGGATCCACGAGCTTCTTCCCGTTGTCCGGTAGACGACAACTGCAAATTGCCGTCAGCTCACTGCTTAGTGCGTCAGGAACTGGAAGATTTCTTGCCCCGAGCCACAGTCCCTTGCATACGACATCCTAAACAGGTTACGGAGTCCGCGTCTCTCAGTGCTGATGTATCTAGTTTCTGCCTGACCCTAACGAACAGAAGTATGACATTAGAAGGGCCACGCAGCAATAAAACCCAGAAATGGTTCCAGTTTGCAGGACTGAGCCTCCACCAGGGTAAGACACTAGTGCAGATAAGCGATGAGGCTACAGAATTTACATAATGTACAGTTACACTTTTAATATACATATTTGATACAAAAATTATAGCAGGAAAAGGACTCATTTGATTGTAGAATACAGTATTTTTGTACAGCATGAACCGTTCATTTCAGTTGATTATTTATCCTGTAGTAGTCATATCAGCTGTATAGGACTTCTGTGGTATGTGTAAATGCAACCTGCCTTCAGACTAGCAATCAAATTAGGTCATTTGCTGGCATGAATATAGTCTGATGTTTGACTGTTCTCAGCTTTGGTATTTCAGTGACTGAATGCAGATGTCTGGCTCTTCATACTGCTTTATGCTTACTGATTAAACGCTGAGCAAAACAAAATGGCGGAGTGAGAAGCTGAAAATGAGCTAGTATCAGGATTACAAGCAGAGCACCTGCTGCACAGTATACAGTAGAGACTCTGCTCTCATACGGAAGGAAGCATTTCTGGAGGGCGAAGTCAGTTGGTGTTATGCTGCCCTGGAAAAGAAATGAAGACTGTCACTTTTCTGTTACAGTGGGTTCTGGATCAGGAGTAAACACCACGACTGTCACATCTCCAATTTCTAAATTCTGTGTTGGCTGGCAAGGGTTGGGGCCAGTTTCCTAGTACCAGTGCCTTCTCCAGGGGGCTGAAGAGTCCGTACCTTGTGGTGCTGGACACTAACTGGACTATTCACCAGGCCAACATTAGCCCAGAGGCCAATCTTCCCTGTAGTCCATCTAGCGTAAATAGAGAGCTGGGCTCCTCCTCTGATCTGCCTTCAAGAGAAGCCTAACTTTAGCTGCTGTAAATCCACCTGGAGGGAGCCTTCCCAGGCTAAAGTTAGGGTTTGTGAATGTGCCCCTTCCTCCCCCCCCAAGCCCTCCTACCCAGTACATGCTGCAAAAAACACGTTGGCTAATCCAAATTACGAACATGCACTTCAATAACAAACAACTTCATTGGGTTTTGTCTCGACTTTGCAGTTCAAATTAGCGTTTACAACGGACCGAGGCAGAGTTCAAACAGTCGTGAAGATGATGCAACCTTAATTAGCCAACCTCTTGTTTGCAGTGAAGATGCACTGCCTGGCACGCACGCGGAGAGCTGGTGTAGTTTGAAGGCAGCTACTCTCAGGAATATGGAATAAACGGAACTACTTTCAACAAGAAATACTAACAGTTGCATAAAATGAATTTAAAAGTTTGGGGTTATCCATGTATTAAGCAGCCTAAACTCAACAGCAGTAAAAACCCATGAAAGATTCCCCCCGCCAAGTCACAGACTACTTTGTAAACAGAGGGTAGGTTTTGCTTCTTGGCTCCTAGGAGTTCTGTTTTATTTTTGAACTGGGGAACTAATTGATTTACCTCTAAGGATATACTGAGCACTGGAACTGCCTGCAAAGCATAACCAACACGCTATAAAATGTGAATTGGAAACGAGGAGGCAGACTGTGGGCACATGACAAACGTTTTCCCTGTGCGGAGCGGTTCAGAAAACCATGATCACCGTGCAGAAGAGTTCAAGGTGGATACAGTCGTGTTTTCGTAGCTGGTAAATCAACCAAGCCAAACTAGTCTTTTTACTGTTCAGTGCACAATACTGATTATTTTTACAAGTCACTAGTTTACAACGCGCCCCCTTGATAAGAAAATGTTAGCTGCTTGTACCCCGATACTAATTAGATCTCCAACAGCATTGCTTTGTACCACACAGACCTTGTGGCTCCCACAGATGTACTCTATGAAGTGGATGCAGCATACTGAGGGGGTTGGGTGGGTAGGCAATTTTTTTATTTTTTGTTTTTACAGGTAGAATCAGTTTTAAAATATAGCTGACTGCCATGTTGATTTATTTATGAAAGTTATCTGACAAAAATAAAAAAAATTAAAACTTACCATGATGAAACTAGGGTTGTTTCTATTCCTCCAGCTGAATGACGGGACACTGATTTCTGGAATGTTCCCCGCGTGCAGCACTTCACAAGCACTGTGTGTATGGCCGCTGAGAATCAAACGGGGATGAAACCACCATATCAGCTAGAACACAAAAAGCACAAGCACAAGAATTGTCATAACTAAAAAGAAATTGAGCTTTTAAACCCTTTTTCTAACAGAATGAACTTATGGCAATTCTGGTATTCTTACAAAGTGTTTTGTGTCTGTTTTCCAGTAAGACGTGTTGATACTGGAGTACTAATGGTACCAGTTTGGCCCTCATGCCAAATGCCAGACTGGTCTTGGTTTGGCCATACAGACCAGAAACACAAGGGCAATAGCATGCTGGTGACATCACAAATAGAAAAACCTTGGGTTTAGTGAAGCAATGGTGTTTCCTTGTCTAAGGGAGAATAACCTTACACTGCCAACCTTGAGCGCAGACATTCATGCAGACGGGAAATCCTGACCACGAGGTTTTTAGCCAACACTTTGCATTTCCCTGTTGTTACTAATTCAGCAAAAGCAGCGCTGTCCAAGCGGGGGCAAATGGCGGCTTTCTGCTCGCGCTGTCGGTGCTCCACACAGGACGGAAAGGACAAGACGCTGAACAGCACGGCAGCAGGCGTAAGAGCGCCGGGACTTGGGGCCTGTACCCAGGACCCCCGGCAGGACCAAGGCCGTGATGGCACTGATCTTGGGGGGGAGCAGCTGTAACAAGCAGCCTCTCAAAGGCCTCGCTAAAGTGGGAGCTAATCGGTAGCCAGCTGCCCTCGTGTCCCCCTCCACCTACCCACTGACACTCAGGTGCCTAAGAAATCAAACCTTTTGTGATGCTTCTTGAGACAGTACATCATACTTCTCTTTAAACGGGATGTTCCTCTCCTCTGGAGGAACAGCATCTTCTCCGCTGCATTCAGCATCACTTTTCCGATAGAGAGGGTAGTGCTGGGAGGAATGCAAAACAAGGATCTGTTGTTAACGATCCCGCCTTTCTGGACCAGTAGTGAATACACTAAAAACCTGTCAGCATGGTGCCTCACCCCACCTCTGACACACCTGTAAAAGGATGGGTTCTGAAGCCGGAAGCTTTTCCACATCACTGCATCTTTTGTTGGAGTGATTCAGTTTCTGTGAATAAAATCAATCCACACATCCTGTCTTCACCTATGTGTGCCACAGAAGCAGGGAAGGGAATTAAACAGTAGCTAGGTTTTCGGGGGGGGGGATGTTTGTTTTTTGGGAAAAGCAGAATCAGCACAGAGTACAGTGGTTAAACGCTGTTCACTGCATAAACTGCTAAGAGCCTCCACTGGATGGAAGGGGAGATACTGTGATGCCTCTCTCTGTACGTGCTGTAAATACAGCCGCGCTCTTTCTGAATGCAGAAAGCAACCGCAGAATCTTGCCGTGCAAACAAGGTAAAAGAGATTTGGGGCACCCCGAGAGAGACAGCAGTTAGAGCCTGGCAGTTCTTCCATGGGAGCTGGCTTCCCGACTGACTGCCAGCCAGTCAGTCCTGCCGCCTACCAGGCAGCCAGGCAGCCTGTGAAACATGGCAGAGGAATGAAGTACAAGGAGCAACTGGATTTGATAGAAAAATACTACGATTAAAACATTACTAGGCTATCAAGACGGAACTCCAGTAGAAGCAGAAAACTAAAACAGGCTGGCTTGAAGGACATAAACCAGAACAATGTGCATAGACATAAATGCAGGGATTATTACGTATCTCAAGGCAAAGGGAGGGTCACAGAGCTGCCATTCCTTGGAACACAGGAGCCACACCCTCTGGTGGCAGCACGGACAAGGAAGTGAACACCACTAACACGAAGCAACACCTTTAATAGGTCAGTAAAAATGGTGAGGGACAAATGAGAAGAAAGATTCGCTACAAGCTGCAATATGAATTGGAAGCAGATTTGGTTTTTTCAGCAGAGTCTTAGGTATATCCTGACTATCACTGTGGTGTCAGTATCCCCACTGCAGCAGCCGAGCTGCTGGCTATGATCAGACCTTTAACAAACTCTTACCTGCTGGGAGCAATTCAGTTTGTGAGAAAGCGCCACGAGCTTTGCCTCTGAGGTGCGGCAGACAGCACAGCCATCCCCCTCCATGGCTACGCTGTTCACTAGGACAAAGCTGGAAAACACCAGTGAGCGGGCAAAGAGCCGGGAAGTGGGGAGGACAGGAAAGCATTTGCTGTTCATGCACATGTGTGAGATAGATAAACTGTATTTCATAAAATCCACGTGTTCCACAGTTGACCCAGCTGAACCAAACAGCAGAACATAACAGCTTCCGAAATCACATGCTACAAATCCTCTGGAGTACCCACATGGTAGCCATTTCCCTACCTAATAGGTTGCTTTACAATCAGTTGTTAATTAGGTTACACAATATCCTGTATGCTATGCTTCATGTTTAGACTTCCAAGCTTTTTTTATATTATAACCGATACTTCAGTGATATTCTAGTGGAAGGTCAGAAGCCCACTAAGCTGAATTCTGAGGGAAAGGAGAGCTTGCTTCTCTCCCCACACACATTTTAGACCTCAGAGATACAACTTCAGACAGTTGATTTCTTCGAAACTACTGAAAAGCAAAACCACCCAAAAATTTAATTCTCTTCTAGCAAATCAAGTGGCTTTTATATCACAGATTTGCTGTAAAATAGTTTATCTAGGGACATTTCATTAATAATGCAGCTCGTTTCAGTCAATGACTATGACACTAGACATACAATCTGCAACTGCACCAAGAACTCTGCTGTGCTGTTTCATCAAAGGGGACGTGGAGATATTCTTTAATAACTATTTTTTGAAACAGCTGAAATATATATCTCGAGGACCCCAAATCTGCATGATAAACAACAGCATTATACTGAGCATTCATGAAGCTCATACATCTAGACCTGATCAGAATATTTCTAATGTTTCCTTAATTAAGGGAACCAGTGTAAAACTGCAGGGTTTCAATCTTATGTTTGCATGAGCCACTATAACCTGATGGCACACATGCCAGATGCGGCGTGGCGGTGGGTCCGTCTGCCCTTCATACACCTGTGGTTTAGAGAAATCCCTTTCCACAAACCCACTGTCGCTTTCCCTCATTGGGTTCCTGCGCGGCACCTGAAAGTAACTGAACGGGCCCGGGGCAGGCAACTGCAGCCACAGGCACACGGTGATGAGCGCAAGCTCTGAGACAAGGTCCACCCTAAGCCAAAACCAGCTTGTGCGTTATCACCCCACCCTGTGGAAGAACTGTGGACAAGCAACTGCTGTGTTCCCAAATTCCTCAAACGAGAGTTAAGTTCTCCAGACTAAAGAAGTTATTCAAATTAATGACACTCTTAACTGGTAAGCAGAGAGAGGGTTTGTTTGTGTTTCTGTACTGAATCCTGTCCTTCTGTTATGTTCACAGCCATGGGTCATGACCAGCTGCAAGGCAGTGAAAAGGCAAAGCAAAGAATTTGATTCTGATACCACAGTACTTTTCCATTTAAAAGGAAATAGTTATAATTTACCTAGCTCAAAGTACAGCTTCCACTCCACTGCAAACTACAGGTTTTACAAAGTGTTTAGTGTTTAATGCTCTAAGTTAAGCATTCCCACATTCCCATGCTATTTCATTAGAAATTCTATTTTCAGTTCTCAGTTTTCATCACTCTGGTCTACTACCCTTCTAAACATTGAAAAAAAAATTAAATATACTCACTTTATTCCTTTTCGAGTTATTAGTTTTCCTGAGGTGAAGTTGAAAACCTTTTCAAATCGATTTACCTTGTAAGTAGTCATTCTGTGTCAGAGAGCAAACACACACCTGAGGTCAGAAATCGGCACTGCAGATCACCTGACACGCTGCACAGTGCAGCCTGCTGCTCCCTTGTCTAGCTCACATATTCACTCGGCAAACTCACAGGGATGCTCCAACACCCACATCGTGTACTCTGTCCCAGTCCCACCAGTGCAAGCACAGCCGTCCTACAGAAGCACAGCACAGTGAGGGCGCTTACACCCTTCTGTGCTGAGGTAACAGGAAAGGGAAGACGCTCAGGCCAAACGCTTTCGGACACAGAGGCCCAACACAAGGAAAAGCAGCTTCAAGGCTTCCCTGCCAATGCAGAATGACCAGCTCTGAACAACTTCAGATATGCTCAGAGAAGCATGAAACTAGCCTGAAACTTGTTCTAAAATTTATTCCTAGGGTGCCTTGTGCACAGGGGGATGCCTTTTAAGGTCTTGCTCTGAATTACAATCCCTTCTAATTTGGTTATGTATATATATATTTCTGTGTAACCACGCAAGAGGTCACTCAGACACAAGCCCAGTCACTGCGTGCATCCGACGTCTCATTCTTGGCACTTGTGTACTTCTTTCACCGACAAGACTTACTCATAATGAAATCCAATGTCATGATTCCCAGTGACAACCACTAGCTCAGTAGAAACTGGATGCTTAAACATTTTCCAAAATCTCCTGACATCATCTGCCCAGGCCTGCATGAAAAAACAAATGGAGACATTAATGCTGTTCAACGGTATCAAAGGGGATCACTAGTACTGGATTGGCTTTGTGAGGCCAGGTTTTGGTAGCAGGGGGGGCTACAGGGGTGGCTTCTGTGAGAAGCCGCTGGAAGCTTCCCCCATGTCCAACAGGGCCAATGCCAGCTGGCTCCAAGGGGGACTCACCACTGGCCAAGGCCGAGCCCATC